TTTTTAGATAGAATCTTTCTTTGTCGCCCAGGCTGGAATACAGTAGCGTGGTCTTGGCTCACTGCAACCTCCACGTTCCAGGTTCAAGCCATTCTCCTGCCTCAGCCTCCCAAGTAGCTGGGATTACAGGTGCCTGCCACCACGCCTGGCCAGTTTTTGTTATTTTTAGTAGAGACGAGGTTTCGCCACGTTGGCCAAGCTGGCCTCGAACTCCGGACCTCAAGTGATCTGCCTTCCTTGGCCTAAAGTGCTGGGATTACAGGTGTGAGCCACCACACCCAGCCAATGGTCTCATCTTTAAAATGCAAAGAAGAGGAAGTGGAGGGAGAGAGCTTGGCAGTGGCACGCGGTTGGCCACTGGGATCATCAGTCCCACCAGTCCTCACCCAGGACCCTTCTCACTGCAGCCCAGCACCCCCGCTTTTTTCTTTTCCTCTTTGAGATAGAGCCTCACTCTGTCGTCCAGGATGGAGAGCAATGGTGTGATCAGCTCACTGCAACCTCCACCTCTTAGGTGTAAGTGATTCTCCTGCCTCAGCCTCCCGAGTAGCTGGAATTACAGGTGTGGCCCCCATGCCAGCTAATTTTTATATTTCTAGTAGACACGAGAATTCACCATGTTGGCAAGGCTGGTCTTGAGTTCCTGACCTCAAGTGATCTGCCCACCTCTCTCAATGCGCTGGGATTATAGGCGTGAGCCACTGCCTGGCCCTCAGGGCCTTTGCAGCCTCTGTTCCCTTTGCCTGGATGCTTTTCCCTCAACCGCAGCCTTGGTGACTCCAGCTCGTCACTTGAGTCCTTGCTCCAGTGCCACCCTTGGAGCCAGGCCGTCCCTAACCGCCCTGTCTGCAGCAGCCTCGGGGTTTGCTCGGTTACACACAGCCGGGTCCCTGACCACGCTAGTCCATCCAGGACTTTGTCCCCTGCTGCGTCCCAAACCACCCTCCTGCCCACCTGCTCTGACCACCTCTTCCGTGTAGCCCTGCGTCACCTCCTCGTGTGAGAGACGCCCTCAAAGGTGCCCTCAAATGCTGCTCCCAGTGTGGCACAGCTCTGAGGACACAGGCCTCCCCTGTCCACTGGGTGGGCAGCAGGGGCACCAGTCCAGGCCCCATCCCTTTGCCAGCTCGTCTGCCGGACGCTGAGCTCATGCTTTGGGAGGCAGCCACAGCCCTGTTCCCAGAGCAGACTCCAGCATGCTCCCCTCCCCAAAAAACACCGCCAGCCCCGGCCTCTGCCAATCCCATCTCCAGCTGCCCACTGCCCAGGGTCCCGGCCTCTGATGGGTATGGCCGCCTCCAGCCCCTCAGAGAACAGATGCCAGTTGCATGAGTGGGTGAGGGAGCCCAACGGGCCAACAGGACTGGGGGGACAGTCCTTCCCTGGCTCTTCCACCTGTCACTCTTCCCAGAGGCTTTTATACTGTTGTTTTCTGGAGACCCTGGCACAGGAACAGAAGCGGCCCCGGCAGCAGAATCTCTCCCTTTCTCTCTCCCAGGGTTTTGCTGCCTCGGCCAACTCAGTTTTGCTCCAGGCTGGCCGCCCCCTTCCCAGCCTGGGAGTCTGGTTCTGCCCTGTAAAGGCAGTGGCCAGGGGGCAACACGGAGAGAGAGCGCCACCGAGGCCAGCCACAGCCTCTGCTGCCACCATCGCCAAGGTCAGGCACAAGGTGTGGCTCCCCAGTCGATCAGGCATTCTCGGAGGGACACTTTCTCTCTCTGGGACAGCTTCGCAGGGTGGGGGCCCCAGGCAGCCCGATCACCCAGTCCTCGCCCCCACTCCCGGACCCCTGGGCAGTGTGACCAGGAAGCAAGTGGCATGTCACAGGCCACACTGCAGTCCATTCCCTCCAGGGAACCACAGAAATGACAGCAGGTGATGACACCAGGAGCACAGGGCGGTGCTTGCCACAGGATGCAATAAGATGAGAAAAAGCAGAATGCACCATTTAGCTGTTTAAACAACAACTTGTGGCCGGGCACAGGGGCTCACACCTGTAATCCCAGGACTTTGGGAGGCAGAGGTGGGAGGATTACTTGAGGTCAGGAGTTTGAGACCAGCCTGGCTAACATGTTGAGACGCTATCTCTACTAAAAATAGAAACAATGAGCCAGGCATGGTGGCAGGCTCCTGTAATCCCAGCTACTAGGGAGGCTGAGGCATGGGAATCGCTTGAACTCGGGAGGCGGAGGTTGCAGCATGCCAAGATTGAGCCACTACACTCCAACCTTGGCAACAGAAGGAGACCCTGTCTCAAACAAACAAACAAACAAACATAGCTAAACATAGAAAAGGTACAGTAAAAATAAGGTTTAAAAGGTAGACTGGGTCAGATGTGGTGGCTGACACCTGTAATCCTAGAATTTTAGGAGGTCAAGGCGGGAGGGTTGCTTGAGTTCAGGAGGTGCGTCCTGGGCAATATAAGGAGATCCCGTCTCCTGCCTCTTTTTTTTCAGACGAGCCTCACTCTGTTGCCCAGGCTGGAGTGCACTGATGTGATCTTGGCTCACTGCGACCTCTGCCTCTCGGGTAGCTGGGATTACAGGCACCCACCACCATGCCTGGCTAATTTTTTGTATTTTTAGTAGAGATGGGGATTTCACTATGTTGCCCAGGCTGGTCTCGAACTCCTGATCTCAGGTGATCCGCCTGCCTCGGCCTCCCAAAGTGCTGGGATTACAGGCCTGAGCCATCACACCTGGCCAAGATCCTATCTCTTTTTTTTTTTTTGAGATGGAGTTTCGCTCTTGTTGCCTAGGCTGGAGTGCAATGGTGCGATCTCAGCTTGGCACAATCTTGGCTGACCACAACCTCCACCTCCTGGTTCAAGCAATTCTCCTGCCTCAGCCTCCCGGGTAGCTGGGATTACAGGCGCCCGCCACCACGACCAGCTAATTTTTCTATTTTTAGTAGAGACGGGGTTTCATCCTGTTGGCCGGGCTGGTCTCCTAACTTCAAGCGATCCTCCCACCTCAGCCTCCCAAAGAGCTGGGATCACAGGCTTGCGTCACTGTGCCCGACCCCCACCCCTCGTAAAACGAACCCAAACCCCGTGTCCTTCAGGTCTGCCTCTGCCGGGCTCCCTCACCTCTTTTCACACTCCTCTCCAGCCAGACTTCCCTTCTTTCTCTCTTCTGTTTTTTTAGGGTCTCGTTCTGTCACTCAGGCTGGAGTGCTGTGGTGTGCTTATGGCTCACTGCAGCCTCCAACCCCTGGGCTCAAGCAATCCTCCCGCCTCAGCCTCCCGAGTACTAGGGACTACAGGCACACACCACTATTCCTGGCTAATTTTTAAACTTTTCTTTGTAGGGATAGGGTCTCACTATGTTCTCCAGGCAGGTCTGGAACTCCTAGGCTCAAGTGTGCCTCTGGCCTCAGCCTCCCAAAGTGCTGTATTGGGATTACAGGTGTGAACCACCATGCTGGCTGCTCTTTCCTTTTTTTTTTTTTTTTTGAGACAGAGTCTTGTTCTGTTGCCCAGGCTGGCGTACAATGGCATGATCTCGGCTCACTGCAGCCTCCACCTCCTGAGTCCAACTGATTCTCATGCCTTGGCCTCCCAAGTAGCTGGGACTACAGACACATGTCACCACATCTGGCTAATTTTTGTATTTTCAGTATTTTTAGGGTAGAGACGGGGTTTCATCTTGTGGACCAGGCTGGTCTCGAACTCATGATCTCAGATAATCCACCAGCCCTGGCCTCCCAAAGTGCTGGGATTTTAGGCATGAGCCATCGCACCTGGCTTAATTTTTGTATTTTTAGTAGAGATGGGGTTTCACCACATTGGTCAGGCTGGCCTTGAACTCCTTACCCTAAGTGATTCTCCCACCTCAGCCTCCCAAAGTGCTGTGATTACAGGTGTGAGCTTCCATGCCCAGCTCAATCACAATTTTTTAAACCCCAGAGAATGGGTAAGAAATTGCTTCTAGTTTCTTCCATCATACCAATCTTGGTTTAAGACCTTCCTACAGCTCTGATTATTAGGATGAAAATGAAACTCCCTGCACACCTCCAAGCGGCCCAGGTCCACCTGCATCACAGCAGACTGCCCCAGCTGCACCCACGTTCTCTCTCTGTCTTGTACTGGTGATGCTCCTTTCTGCCTCTGAGCCTTCGTCTGTGCTGTTCCCTCTACCTGGAATATCCTTCCCCCTTTTTTTTTTTTTTTTTTTTGAGACGGAGTTTCGCTCTTGTTACCCAGGCTGGAGTGCAATGGCGCGATCTCAGCTCACCACAACCTCTGCCTCCTGGGTTCAGGCAATTCTCCTGCCTCAGCCTCCTGAGTAGCTGGGATTACAGGCACACACCACCATGCCCAGCTGAATTTTTGTATTTGTAGTAGAGACGGGGTTTCACCATGTTGACCATGTTGACCAGGATGGTCTCGATCTCTTGACCTCGTGATCCACCCGCCTCGGCCTCCCACAGTGCTGGGATTACAGGCGTGAGCCACCGCGCCCGGCCAATCCTTCCCCCTTTTTGAGATGAAGTCTCGCTCTGTTGCCCAGGCTGGAGTACACGCATGATCTCGGCTCACCGCAACCTCCGCCTCCAGGCTCAAGTGATTCTCCTGCCTCAGCCTCCCCGGTAGCTGGGATTACAGGCATGCACCACCATGCCCAGCTAATTCGTGTATTTTTGTAGAGGAGGAGTTTCACCATGTTGGCCAGCTAGTCTCGCACTCCTGACCTCAAGTGATCCCGCCCGCCTTGGCCTCCCAACGTGCTGGGATGACAGGCACGAGCCACCGCGCCCGGCCCCTATCCTCTTCCACTAGTGAATCTGCTATTCACCCTCCAGACCTCAGCTCCCACGTCCCCTCCCTGGGGAAGCCTCTGGTGACCTCCCGGTGCTGATCAGGCCCCATTACAGGAGCTCGTGACACAGCGTCCCCCACCAGGCTGGTCAGAGCGGCCCGCGCTCCTGGGGCTCTTCTGGAAGAACACTCATCACATGTAGCCTGTCCCCTCACCCCACCAATCCTTGGCACCACGTACCTTCCTTGGAGCCAGTGGCTGTCGCTGCTGAGGATGAAGCTGACCCGGTGGACGTCCGGCCCATGGGACTGGAGTGCTTCCCCCCACGGCCGGGGGGCTTCAGGCCGCTGGGCTTCTGCATGGCGGTGCCACTGGGCAGGTGGACAAGGGTGAGTGTCGGTCACATCCTCTCTGCCACCTTCACTCACCTGCGGGCAGAGACAGGAGACATTGCATCATCACTTCCCAACGGCCCCCAGACCTCAAGGGCCACCGAGCAATACACATCCCTCCTGATGTGGGCTGGCAGAGGCCACAGCCGACTGAACCTATCAGCTCACTGCCCCCTTGCCACGTGAGCCATATTCCCGTTCCCGGGCTCATCATCCCAGCACCGCCCCTCTATCCCAGGGGCTGGACAAACACAGAGAGGCTCATGCCTTACGCACTTACATCCCGGTGTGGGGTCCTCTGCCTCAACTCCACACCAGGATATCATCTAGCTCTGCCTGCCTCTCCACCAGGAAGGCTTCGTGCCTTTATTTTTGGTTGCAGAAATATATTATAATTGAAAGATGTTGTTTCATCTTCTATGCCACAAGCATCCATCAAGCTGTTTGCAGCGACCACTTTTTTGAGATGGAGTTTCGCTCTTGTTGCCAAGACTGGAGTGCAATGACAAGATCTCGGCTCATCGCCACCTCCAACTCCCAGGTTCAAGCGATTCTCCTGCCTCAGCCTCCAGAGTTGCTGGGATTACAGGCATGCAGCACCATGCTCAACTAATCTTGTATTTTTAGTAGAAACAGGTTTCTCCATGTTGATCAGGCTGGTCTCGAACTCCCAACCTCAGGTGATCCGCCCACCTTGGCCTCCCCCAAAGTGCTGGGATTACAGGCGTGAGCCACCATGCCCAGCCAAACCACTTTTAGACTGGGCACAGTGGCCTGTCATTCCAGGAGTCCGGGAGGCTGAGGCTGGAGGATCACGTGAGCCCAGGAGATCAAGGCTACAGTGAGCTCCAGTGCACTCCAGCCTGGATGACAGAGCGAGACTTTTTCTCCCCTCAAAAAAAAAAAGCCCTAAAAGGGCTGGGGGCAGTGACTCACACCTGTAATCCCCACACTTTGAGAGGTCGAGATGGGGGGTAGATTGAGGCCAGGAGTTCGAAACCACCCTTGGTAGCTTAGCAAGACTTTGTCTCTACAGAAAACGAAAAACAAAAAATTAGCTGGGCATGGTGGCACATGCCTGTAGTCCCAGCTACTTGGGGGGCAGAGGCAGGACTGCTTGAGCCTGGGAAGCTTAGGCTACAATGCGCTGTGATGGCACCACTGCACTCCAGCCTGGGCAACAGAGTGAGGCTCCATCTCAAAAAGGAAAAAAAGAAGAAAGGAAAAAGAAAAAGAAGGGCCAGGTGTGGTAGCTCATGTCTGTAATCCCAGCACTTTGTGAAGCCAAGGGAGGAGCATCACTTGAGCCCAGGAGCTCAGGAGTTCAAGATGCACCTGGGCAACATAGTGAGACCCTGTTCTCTACAAATAATAAAAATGAAGTATTTTTTTTTTTTTTTTTTTTTTGAGACAGAGTTTCACTCTTGTTACCCAGGCTGGAGTGCAATGGCGCGATCTCGGCTCACCGCAACCTCCGCCTCCCGGGTTCAGGCAATTCTCCTGCCTCAGCCTCCCAAGCAGCTGGGACTACAGGCACGTGCCACCATGCCGAGCTAATTTTTTGTATTTTTAGTAGAGACGGGGTTTCACCATGTTGACCAGGATGGTCTCGATCTCTTGACCTCGTGATCCACCCGCCTCGGCCTCCCAAAGTGCTGGGATTACAGGCTTGAGCCACCGCGCCCGGCCAAAAATGAAGTATTTTTTTAAAGGCCTAAAAGCAAAGATCACGTTAATCATGGCATACACACAAAAAAAATGTGTGTGATACTTGCTAATACAGTAACCTCAGAAGCAAAAGAAAGTTTTATGTCTTTTTTCAAAATTTTTTTTTTTTTGAGACGGACTCTCACTCTCTCGCCCAGGCTGGAGTGCAGTGACACCATCTCGGCTCACTGCAACCTCCACTGCCCAGGTTCAAGTGATTCTCCTGCCGCAGCCTCCTGAGTAGCTGGGATTACAGGCACCCGTCACAAGGCCTGGCTAATTTTCATATTTTTAGTAAAGACACGGTTTTGCCATGTTGGCCAGGCTGTTCTCGAACTCCTGACCTCAAGTGATCCTTCCGCCTTGGCCTCCCAAAGTGCTGGGATAACAGGCATGTGCCACCACGCCCGGCCAGCTTTGTGTCATATGACAAAGCAGAGACGAGCTTAGAGGAGCACCTGCGCTTTACAATAGGGACTCTGGCAGGGAGCAAAGCCTCCAGGCACGATGCTATCTGTTTAGGGGATCGGGGGCAGCAAGATAGGGCTGGGGGTCAGGGAGGTGGACAAACCCCCCACCCCCAGGCCTCTTCCCCACTATCCTATACTCACAAGCTTTCCTGCACCCAGTGTTTCTGGAGGGCTCACCATGAGCCAGATCCCATTCCCGCCCCAGAGCTGCCGGCAGGACTCAGCCTCTGTCCTGGGGAGCACCAGAGTCAGAGGGAGGATTCCAGGCAAAAGCATCCTCACATCTGGACCTCAGAAACACAGGAAATCTCCGAGGCAGTAGATGCCCTTGTTTGTCCAGCCATATCTGCGGTCACAGATTTCAAAGAATCCTTTTCACCACTCATCTTATTATTATTATTTTTAGAGACAGGGTCTAACTCTGTTGCCCCGACTGGAGTGCAACGGCGTGATCTTGGCTCAACTGCAATCTTCGCCTCCCAGTTTCAAGTGATTCTCCTGCCTCAGCCTCCTAAGTAGCTGGACTACAGGTGCCCACCACCACGCCTGGCGAATTTTTGTATTTTTTGTAGAGATGGGGTTTCACCATGTTGGCCAGGCTGGTCTCAAACTCCTGACCTCAAGTGATCCTCCCACCTCTACCTCCCACAATTCAGGGATTATGGGCATGAGACACCACACTCAGTCCCTTTTTTTTTGAGACAGAGTCTCACTTTGTCACCCATGCTGGAGTGCAGAGGTGTGATCTTGGCTCACTGCAACCTCCATCTCCTGGGTTCAAGCAATTCTCCTGCCTCGCCTCCAAGTAGCTCAGACTACAGGTGCCTGCCACCAGGCCTGGCTAATTTTTGTATTTTAGTAGAGATGGGGTTTCTGCCATCTTGGCCAGACTGGTTTCGAACTGATGACCTCAAGCAATCCTCCCGCCTCAGCCTCCCAAAGTGCTGGGATTACAGGCGTGCACCACGTTCCTGGCCTTTTTTTTTTTTTTTTTTCCTAAACCTATTTGAGGGACACTGTCATTTGCATTTCCAAAAAGTCCTGATGAATACGGAAGCCAACCTACAATGCTCACGGCAGGAATGCACGATGTGTTCTCAGACCGTCCAATGAGTCAGCGGCGCTGCTACCTGTCCTGGCACATCCGAGGGAAGGATCACCTCCTCCCTCGGGCTGGCAGCTACAGGAGCAGAGGAGAACGAGCTGCCCCCGGGCACACAGCAGTGGAGTCGACATGCCCTGGTGAGCCCACGAGAACATTGGGCATGTCTGCCAGTCCTGGCCCTCATGGCCTGGCAAATCCAACATTCCAACGCCCCTGGTGCCTCGGGAATTCTGGGGATCGGGAGTCAATCATGCTGGGGTACAAAGCCGCTCCCTTAGTCCCCAGAACCTGGCCCTCCTAGTGGCTCGTTCACTAAGGGAGCCGGGCTGTGGGCTCTGGGCACAGCTCTCTGAGAGCTTGGTTAGGCTGGGTCAGCATCTCCGATGCCAGCAAAGGTGAGTGGACGTGGTCTCTGGTGACAGTAAATGTCCCACCCTGTGGGTGACCAAACAAGCCTCCTGCTCCTGTGGCTCAGCTGGGCCACCCTCTCACCTAGGAATTCCTGATGCAGTGAAGAGAGAGCATTGCCGGGACTCACGTGAGGTGCAAGGGGCTCCCGCCCCATCCTGAACACCCCCAGAGCCTCTTCTCTGCCCAAAAATCCTTCCACAGAGAAAACAGCTAAAAAACACATCTAATAACAAACTTGCACTCTTTTTTTTTGGAGATGGAGTCTCGCTCTGTCACTGTGGTGCAATTTCGGCTCACTGCAACCTCTGCCTCCCAGGTTCAAGCCAGTAGCTGGGACTACAGGCCTGTGCCACCACATCAGCTAATTTTTATATTTTTAGTAGAGACGGAATTTCACCATGTTGGCCAGGCTGCTCTTGAACTCCTGACCTCAAATGATCCACCTGCCTCAGCCTCCCAATGTGCTGGGACTACAGTAAGCCACCGCGCCCAGCCCAGACTTGGACTCTTTTCTTTTTCTTTCTTTTGTTTTTTTTTTTTCTTGAGATGTGGTCTTGCTCTATCACCCAGGCTGGAGTGCAGTGACACGATCACAGCTCACTGCAGCCTCCAGCTCCTGGGCTCAAGGATCCTCCTGTCTCAGCCTCCTGAGTAGCTAGGACCACAGGTGCACACTACCGTGCCTGCACAATTGTTTTTCATTTTCTGTAGAGAATGGGTCTAGCTACATTGCCCAGGCTGGTCTCAAACTCCCGGCTCAAGCAGCCCTCCTGCCTCCACCTCTGAAAGTGCTGGGATTTCAGGTGTGAGCCACCACGCCCAGCCAGGGCTGGTATTCAGGAAACATAAGGAACTCGGCAACCCCCTAAGAAGAAGACAACAACCCAGTGAAAAATGGGTGAAAGGTCTAAATAAACATTTCACCAAAGGAGATAACCAAACAGTTCATAAGCACATGAAAAGATGAGGAACGTCGTTACTCATCCAGGCAATGCAGATCAAAGCCACAAGGGCGGCCGGGCGCGGTGGCCCAAGCTTGTAATCCCAGCACTTTGGGAGGCTGAGGCGGGTGGATCACGAGGTCAAGAGATCGAGACCATCCTGGTCAACATGGTGAAACCCCGTCTCTACTAAAAATACAAAACATTAGCTGGGCATGGTGGTGCGTGCCTGTAATCCCAGCTACTCAGGAGGCTGAGGCAGAAGAATTGCCTGAACCCGGGAGGCAGAGGTTGCGGTGAGCCGAGATCGCGCCATTGCACTCCAGCCTGGGTAACAAGAGCAAAACTCCGTCTCAAAAAAAAAAAAAACAAACAAAAAATTAGCCAGGCATGGTGGCGCAC